TCTTAGTGACCTCACATGAATAATTAAGTATATTTTCAGTATTGTGCCAAAATGAATCCCAAGCTGGTGTTATAGAAATTTTAAAAATAAAATAATTTCTTTACTGCTTAAGGTTAGTACACAGTGAGAAATCTAAAGAAATTTAGATCAAATTGGATGGTGAAATAAGAATTGTATTACTGAGGAGATTTGACTCTTTTCTCAAGCTTCCCAAATATCACATAGGTAAGGAAATAAGATTGGTTTGTTTTTCCAACACAAAATTTTCTCCATCAAAGTGAGCAATGGCCTTCAACATAGTCACTTCCACATGGTAAGTTACTCTGTAATTGACTTACCACACAAGAAAGTGAATCACATTATTTACTTCACTTCTTGTTTTTGAACATAAAATAGTGACTCAATGCAGTATTTCACCTCATTCACAGGCTTGAAAGTAACTGAATTTTTGCTGTTTTCAAAAATCAAATTCATCTTCAAAGAATCAAATTATGTTTCATGAAAGACATTAAAGGAGACCCCAACTCCACCCCACACTCCTGCAAGTCCACAAAGTAGAGCTTTATATGAGTTTGCCTATAGTTGTGGAAGGCCACTGCTTCAAGGGAGTTTTCCTCTGGACATAACAGATATTTACTTAAAATAATTAGCTTTGTCAGTCCATAGACACACTGTATCCACCATACGTTATTGAAGGACTTCTCTACCCAGCCTAGGCTAATTCATCACATATTTTTAAGTATATTTTATTGATTATGCTATTACAGTTGTCTGATATTTTTTTCTCCCCTTTATACCCTTCTGCCCTGCAGGCCCCATGCCCCCAGCATCACCCCTCCTCTTAGTTCATGCCCATGGGTCGTACATATAAGTTCTTTGGCTTCTCCATTTCCTATACTATTCTTAATCTCCCCCTGTCTATTTTTTACTAACCAATTATGCTTCATATTCCCTGTACCTTTTCCTTTTCTCCCATTCTCCCCCCTCCCCCTCCCCACTGACAGCCCTCTATGTGATCCCCATTTCTCTGATTCTATTCCGTTCTAGTTGTTTGCTTAGTTTGTTCTTGATTTTTAGGTTCAGTTGTTGCTAGTTGTGAGTTTGTTGCATTTTACTGTTCATATTTTTGATCTTCTTCTTTTTCTTAGATAAGTCCCTTTAAAATTTCATATAAGGGCTTGGTAATGATGAACTCCTTGAACTTGACCTTATCTGGGAAGCACTTTATCTGCCCTTCCATTCTAAATGATAACTTTGGTGGATAGAGCAATCTTGGATATAGGTCCTTGCCTTTCATGACTTGGAATAGTTCTTTCCAGCCCTTTCTTGCCTACAAGGTTTCTTTGGAGAAACCAGGTGATAGTCTTATGGGAACTCCTTTCTAGCTAACTGTCTCATTTTCTCTGGATGTTTTTAAGATTCTCTCCTTATCTTTAATCTTGGGTAATTTAATGTTAATGTGTCTTGGTGTGTTTCTCCTTGGGTCCAACTTTCTGGGGACTCTGGGTCTCCTGGACTTCTTGGAAGTCTATTTCCTTTACCAGATTGGAGAAGTTCTACTTCATTATGTTTTCAAATAAGTTTTTAATGTCTTACTCTTCTCCTTCTGGCACCCCTATGATTCAGATGTTGGAATGTTTAACATTGTCCCAGAGGTCCCTAAGCCTCTCCTGATTATTTTGAATTCTTGTTTCCTCATTCTGTTCTGATTGAATGTTTATTTCTTCCCTCTGTTCTAAATCATTGATTTGAGAGCAGAAAATCCTGGTTTCCTTCCATTCACTGTTGGTTCCCTGTACATTTATCTTTATTTCATTTTGTATAGCCTTCACTTCTTCCTCTATTTTGCATTCATAATAATTTCTGTGAGCATCCTGATTACCAATGTTTTAAATTCTGCATCTGATAGGTTGACTATCTCCTCGTCACTTAGTTCTTTTTCTGAAGTTTTGATCTGTTCTTTCATTTAGGACTTTGTTTTTTGTCCCAGCGTACCTGTTATGTTGTAAGGGTGGAGCCTTAGTTATTCTCCAGGATGGGACAACCCACTTCACTGCCTTGTGGTTCTGTATGTGAGGGAACGGTCAGAGAGGGAGCACTGTCACTTGCTTAGCTCTCACCTCACTTTCAGTCACTTCCCCTGCTACCTACAAGCAAATCTGGCCCTTCTAGTGCTGATTCCCACATGGTTGGGTTTGTGTACCTTCTAGGGCCACTTGGGTGTCTCCAACAAACTCTCCTTTGAGGCTGTGAGTTTCTTCCACCCCCACAACCCCCAAAGGTTTTTACAACCAGAGGTTTTGAGGCTTTAGTTTCCCTTCACTGGAACCCTGGGTTGCATGGTCTGTCTTGCTCCCTGTTTGTTCCCTGGCTTATCTACACACAAATGTGGGACCACTCAATACCCAGCAGCTGCCTCACCCATGGGTCTGTCACCTTGCTGTGTGTTCTCTCCACCCTGGTTACCCATCTCTGACCCTCCTACCAGTCTGGATGAATGTTTCTTCTTTAACTCCTTGGTTGTCAGACTTCCATACAGTTTGATTTTCTGGCAGTTCTGGTTGATTTTTATTTTTAAATTTTGTTGTTGTTCTTCTTTCACTTGTGTAAGGAAGCACAGTGTATCAACCTATGCCTCCATCTTGGCCAGAAGTTTGTTTAATTCATCACATATGTTTAAGTGAATGTGGTATGGCAGCCATACTTTCCACTACTAACAACAGTTGGAAGTGGCAGTTACAGAGGGCAATATGAAAGAGATTGGAAAAAGTTAAATGAGAGTAGCTGCCCCATTCCACCTCTCTTCACTCCTAAAGGGGATGTAGAAGAATATCATAGAATGGCAGATGGTAATTGAATGATAGTCTGTCAGAAAACATGAAGCTGGTAGAAGAAATTCTAACTGAAAGTCAGGAGTAGCTCTGGGTCTGAGTGAGGCAAGTGAGGCCATTAGGATTCAAAGTACATTAGGAAGCACCTACTCTCCATTGCTAATCTTGTACTTACATGACCCTAAGAGTGTGCCTGAGGTGTTTCACTTGCCTCACCTTACTCTAGGTACTGGTGGGGTAGGGACCTGATATCTACTTTATCTTTTGCCACAGACTTGCTAAATAATTCTGGATAAATTAGAGGTTAATATGATGCAACTTCAAATTCCTTATATGTAAAATGGGAATGATCCCTGCAATACTTTTACTGTAAGTTGCTGTGAAGATCCATGGGATATGACTATTTTCTAAGCCATATACATTTATATTAGCATTCCTTTCTTTTTAAAAATTTAATCATTACTGTATTTTTTCCATTACCATTTAGCCCTCTCATGACTCCTCCCCTCAGCATTCACCACACTGTTTTCCATGTCCATGAGTCCTTTTTCCTTTTTGTTCAATCCCTCCACCCCCTAACTTCCCCCACCTCCTGAACTAGCTGTCATCCTGCTATCCATCTATTTGTCTGTCTCTGTTTTGCTTGTTAGTTCAGTTTGTTCATTAGATTCCACATGGATGAAATCACATGGTATTTGTCTTTCTCTGACCGGCTTATTTCACTTAGCATAATATTTGCCAGGTTTATCCAGGGTACAATTGTCTTCTTTTAATGGCCAAGTAGTATTCCATTGTGTAAATATCCCATAGTTATTGTATCTGCTCATCTGTTGATGGACATTTGGGCTGCTTCCATACCCTTGTGATTGTAAATAACACTGCAGTGAACATAGGAGTGCCTATATTTTTTTGATTTAGTGTTTTGGGTTCGTTCATATATAATCCCAGAAGTAGTGTCCCTGGGTTCCCCTTAAGACCAGGAACAACACAGGGATGTCCTCTTTTACCTTTCTCATTCAACATAGTACTGGAAGTCCTAGCCACAGCAATCAGACAAGAAGAAATAAAAGGCATCCAAATTGGAAAGAAAGAAGTAAAACTGTCTTATTTGCAGATGACATTATATTGCACATACAGAACCCCAAAGATTCCACCAAGAAACTTCTAAAACTCATAAACAAAATCAGCAAAGCAGCAGGATACAAAATTAATATCTAGAAATCAGTTGCATTTTTATATGCCAATAACAAACTAACAGAAAAGGATATTAAGAATACAGTCCCACCCTGGCTGGTGTAGCTCAGTAAATTGAGCACAGCCTTCAAACCAAAGCGTTGCCTGTTTGATTCCCAGTCAGGGCACATGCCTTAGTTACAGGCCAGGTCCCCAGTTGGGGGCACATAAGAGACAACCACACATTGATGTTTTTCTCCCTCCCTTTCTCCTTCCCTTTCCCTTTCTCTAATAAATAAATGTTTTAAAGAATACAATCCCATTGACAATTGCTTCAAAAAGAATAAAATGCCTAGGAATAAACCTAACCCAGGATGTAAAAGACCTTCCACTATTTTAAAAGTACAACAGTTAAAAAAGAGGTAAAATAGAGGCTAATTGAATATATAGATTTACCTGCTTCCCTCAACCAGTACTAGAATTTTTCTGATCTTTCACTACAAATTCTGCTTTCAGCTCCTTATGATTGGTCTAGTTTTTTTTTATTGGAAGGGAAGACATTTATCTAATAGTTTTCACAAAAAGGATTGAAGGCTGTAGTCTGATTTTCAGGGATCATTTATCTACTAAAATATCAGTTCACCTTGATCTCCAGTCAAGATTCTCAGCTACTCTGCACAAGGAAAGCATTTTAGCAGTTAAAAAAAAATGGCATGACAAGCTCAGCTGGTTGGGAATCAGACCATAAAGTGAAATGTTGCTGGTTTGATTTCTGGTCAGGGCACATGGCTGAGTTGTGGGCCTGGTCACAGGATGGGGCGCATGTGGGAGGCAATTGATTGATGTTTCTCTTACAAATTGATACTTCTCTCCCTCTCTTTCTCCCTCCTTTACCCTCTACCTAAAAATAAATAATAAAATTTTTGAACAAAACAAAACAAACAAAAAAACCTATAACCATGTTTCTTTCTTAACGTATGTGTTTTTCATTGGCAGAATCGCATCGCAAAACGCAGCAGGAAGCTGGTTGACTATGACAGTGCCCGCCACCATCTGGAAGCTTTACAGAGCTCCAAGAGGAAGGATGAGAGTCGAATCTCCAAGGCAAGGATTGATCCCACTGTTGAAACCACTCTATATTCTGTGACCTATAGCAATTTTGTTGTTAAAAAGGAAATATTTTCTTTCTAAAGGACATTGGAATCAGGACAGAATTTAAACTGAAATGTGGTGCTTATGAGCTGCTTTCCATAATTTTTCATTAAAAATAAGGTTTTTGATGTTCTTGTAGAGTTCACATGGTGACACTGACTTGTATATTTTGATAAGCATAAACTTTGCCCCCCAACAATACTGGGGAAAGTAAGAAGTATTCCTGTACTACTTACTGTGGTTGTGGTATATACTTGATGCTAAAATGCAGATTCATACAGGAAACCAGTTTGAAAATCTCAGACATAACTTGGGATTGTCTGAGAGTACAAACATATGCTAGGTTTGCCTAACATTCTTTTTTTTAGAAAACCCATTTCAGTAACTTTAACAGTATAAGTTAGTCATTTACAGATGCCAATTAATTGATGACTCCTCATAAGCTACTCCCTTTTCTTCCAGTCTTGCTTTCTCCTGTCTGCCTACACACAGCTGTCTAGTCTTTCTACATCACATATTTAGATATGATTCTCTACTGCTTGAGTCTTTTGATGGCTCCAACTGCCTGCAGAAAAAATCTAGGTTCCTTAGCATAGTATATGCGACTTTCTCTATTTGGTTGTGACTCACTCATCCATTCTTATCAACTTCCATGTCTTTTTTTTCTCTTCTCCTTCTTCTGTGCACACATCCTAAACTAGAGCCTTCATGACTTACATATAAGTTCCTGAGCTGCCACAATAATAGCTGTTATTCATGTGAGGCTTAATAGAGACTAGACACCATGTTTAACACTTCATCTATATCACCTTTCCTTTATACTCATAATGCCTGTCAGGTGGGCATTGCTTTTTTCATTTTGTGAAAAAGGTATCTGAAGTAAAAATCAATATGACAAGCTCACAAGGTTAGTACAGTAAAATTCCAACCCAAGGAACTCCACCTTTATATATAGCAATGCCTTATCCATCCCCTTCTTTAGCAAACATTTACTAACTCTTCAAAAGCCACTGAAAAAATATCACCTTCTCTGTGGAACATTTCTGTTCTCTGCACCATCTTCCCCAGCAGCATACTCCATAACACTTTATAAGCCCTATCTTGCAATGTAATTATTTAGACTTTCCACTAGACTAGGAATTTCCATATGGGGAGGCATCCATGTTCAGTATCCAGAGCAGAGCAGTGTGTGACAGGCAGTTATCACATTTTTGTAGAATGAATGAATCTGCCAGATAGTGTAAGACCAACCATTGTAGTCAATTCAGTTTTCTTGTTTTAATAAGAATAAATATTTCATATTTATTGAAAAATGTAGGTATTAAGCAGACTAATTTTTCTCCTACCCAAAATGTTTCTAGGATGCCATAAAGCTATTCCTTTTTTTATATTACATGACTTGGTTGTGTATAGAAATGGCTTGTGTTTATGTGCTTTTTTAAGTGTTAACATGTTATGTGTCATTTGTAGGCAGAAGAGGAATTTCAGAAAGCACAGAAAGTGTTTGAAGAGTTTAATGTTGACTTGCAAGAAGAGTTACCATCATTATGGTCAAGGTAAAGATGTTTTTGTACAGATGGTACCTGTCTCTTTTAGAAGTTTAAGAATAGTGAATATCCCTTATCTTGTCTTTGTTGCCTGTGATAGTTTAGTGCAGTCCAGTGGAAGTGTTCTATAATCTATGCTTTCCAGTATGGAAGCTACTTGGCACATGTGGCTGGCTGTTGAACACTTGGAATGTAGCTGAATTTTAAAAGAAATTTATTTTGTTTTTATTTATTTATTTATTTATTTATTTATTATTTTTTGCTGATAAAAAAAGGAGTCTTTATTAAAAAACTATATACCTTTGGAATAACAGGATTCTACATGCATTAGTACTTAAGCCTATCAATTAAGGCTAAACTTTTTCATATCTGAGTTCTATCATTCCCCCTGTTAATTTTTAATTATCCTATTTGTATAGGGTTAGTTTACAAACTAAAACAGTGTAATATCAAAAAGCTACACGATTTTGGAAAAATGACAGGCTTCTTCCTTGGAGCTTGTCTCCTGTAGAACACCCAAGGAATGATAACCCTGCCATCTTCCTCCAGGCCAGCCTGATCCTAAGCTGTGCTTGTATTTCCTTCCCATCCAAAATACTGTCCTCTGAGAAATGCAGGCAGCTGCACCACTATCATCCAGGTATCCTTGAAGTTGTTTTGATTTATTTAGATTTAAATAACCTCATGTAGCTAGTGGCAGCCATGTTGAATGGCAGAGTTTTAACTTTGATATAGTAGTTATCAAATGAAGACCCAAATCTCAATCAGAGGTGTTAGGAGATTTCCTTTAACCTTGAAATTTATAAGGATACCCTTTCAGTTTTCTTGGCAGAACTTCCTTTATTCCAAGAGCTTATATAGTTTTCTGGCTTTGATGCCAAGCCACTACTTTCAGCCCTTGACCTGTTAACATGAACTCCATCCCTAGTTTAGATACTAGATATTCTTATTTACAGGTGCTCAGCATTTTTTATGGCAATGTATCAAGGCATTGGTACATTTTCCATTTCTCATGGTATTAATGAAGTACTTCTTATTTATAGGTATTCTACATTCCTCATGGCATTAAGTGCAATTTTCTTAATGTTAGAATGAAGAAGTTATTGGATGGAATGGGGCATGTCTCTTAATTTCCATTAGCACCCCCCTGTGCTATAACCCTAAATCAACAAAATAATGCATACTGTGCAACATTGTCTAAAGCCAAATCTTCTAACCCAACTTCCAACCAGATTGTTGCTCCTAACATCATCCTATATTGAAATTCAAGAGCTTCTATTTATCCTACAAAATTATAATAATATTGAGGATCTAAACAGAAATATTTCCTTTTCTGTGTTCATTCCTAGTGCTTTTGATTTTTTGTCAACAATAGGCACTCAGAGTTTATTTTTGGACTACTAAAAAATCTATAAAAAATTTTAGACTATAGGACATGTCTAATGCAATGTCCATCTATAACCCACAGTTTAACATGTGTGAAATTAACTCATTGCCATGAATTTACTCATTCTTTCAATATCTGCATTTCTCTTTTTGGTACCATCATTCTTGGGCTTCCAGCCTCAAGATTTTGTAGTCTTTAACTATGGAACTTAAGAATTGTCAAAGGAAACAATCTGTCCTTTATCTGTATAATTTCCTGGATTGATGTCCCCATTTGTATTCTCATTGCCACCATCTCTAACCCTTATCATCCTTTGTAGATCATGAAAGTAGTCTTGCCCTCATATTTCTGTCTTGGTCTCTTCATCCTATACACCTCTTTATTCAGAAGCTCCATTGTGACATATCTGTAGTCTGCTTAGGAACTTACTATATACAAGGTCTGTCCAGATACAGTCCAGCCATTATTAATATAACAAGAATGGTTTGTGCAACATTGTTGTTACCTGGAAGCCAAGAAGAGTGGACTGGTATGCCTATGAATGAACAATGCTGACTTCACTGTACTAGTTAGTGGGGGCAGTAGACACTGTTGAGTGAGCATGTGTACTTCTGTGGCTGTCACATTCAAAATGACTGAGAGGGTAGAGCAATGTTTCTGCATCAAATTTTGCATTAAGCTTGAACATTTTTCCATGGAAACAATTTTGATGATTCAGAAGGATGTAACTATGGGCAATCGGTGATTGGGAGCTTCATCACAACTACACACCTGCTCATGCATCACATCTTGTGCAGAGTTTTTTGGTGAAACATCAAGTCACCCAGTTGACTCAGCCTCTCTACAGCCCAGATTTGGCACTCTGAGACTTCTGAGTTTTCTCAAACCAAAAATCACCTTTGAAAGGGAAGAGATTTCAGACCATCAGTGAGATTTAGGAAAATAAGACAGGGCAGCTGATAATGAATGGGAGAACTATGTGAGGTCCCGAGGTGTCTACTTTGAAGGGGACTGAGACATTATTGTCCTAAGTACAATGTTTCTTGTATCTTCTTCAACAAATATCTCTATTTTTTATATTACATGGCTGGATACCTTTTGGACAGACCACGTGTGTCCAAGAAAGACCTCACATCTCCCCCAATGAGCATTTTGAACAGCCTGAATATATAAATATATAGATGAGATAAATATCTATTTATAATTTTAATTTTTATAATCATTTATTACTAAAGTTACAAATTATGTAAAATTGTGTTTTTTAAGAAATATTATTGTTTGCGTTCTTACATTTTGAGAAATACTTGTATCCAAAGTCTTTATCTGTATCTTTGACACTCATCAAGTCAGCTAATATCTCTTTGGAGCGCCCCATGTTTCTCAACAGGTATTCCATCTTAAACAAAGTTGTCATTTGCATACAATAAAGGCAGTCATTGTCATTTCTTCTATAAAAGAACTTTTGGGATCGCACACATAATTACACAGTCCATGGCTTTTTAAACTGGACCTTGAAAAGACTTGGGTACCACAATATTTAACACTTCCACTTATGAGACAATGCTCCTGGAAAAATTGCCAAAATTGTCAAAAGATAAATACATGTTATTTGCCTTATATATATTGGATATGTAACAAAATTTTTTTCTCTTTTTTAAGATTTTATTTATTTATTTTTAGAGAGGGAAGGGAAGGAGAGAGAGAGAGAAACATCAATGTGTGGTTGCTAGGGGTCATGGCCTGCAACCCAGGCAGGTACCCTGACTGGGAATCGAACCTGCGACACTTTGGTTCACAGCCCGCACTCAATCCACTGAGCTATGCCAGCCAGGGCTACAAAAAAATTTTTTAGTGCTCTTTATATGTATCAAAATGAACATTTACTGATGTATTCTGTGGCTTATATGCCCTCCCCAAATAGTATATGCTTATTCAAAATAAAGTCATTGTCAAACTATCTTGAATGTGGAAGGCTTTGTAGGGACTTAAAAACAAAGGGAATATTTAAGGGACAAATTTTGGAGAGCAACCTTTCCCCTTATCTGGTCATATACAATATAAATGCTTCAGTGCTTTTAAATCCAGTCTAATTTCTCATATGGCACTCAAGGCTCTTTCTCTTTATGTTAATCAGGTTCTATACTTTGATCAAAACCCAGCTCAGGCCTTTCCTTTTATATAGTGTGTTTCTTTACTAAACCCAAATTATTCAATCCCCATAATGATGTAAATTGTGTGTGTTTTGTATGAAAGAGAGAGATCATTATTGAAAACTTTCTATTTGCCAGGTATCATTTTGTGCGCTTTACATATGGTATATAGTCTCTAGTCGTCACAATTACAGATATCCATCCCCATTTTACAGATAAGGAAGCTAAAGATTATATTGATTAACACCTTGCCTAAGATTGTAAATTTTATGAATCACTTTTTGTTTCTCCAGTCTTCCATTATTGTCATGTGTTTCAAAAATAGGGACAAGAGGAATGAAGTACTACCTAGGGGAGGTGTAGGTTCAATTTTAAAAGGAAATGCTAGGGTATGTTTTTATGTTCTAAAGGGGATTACAATTTTGTAAGAGATGATAAAGAGGTATCACAAATAAGGAAGGGCTCCAAAGAAAAGACTTGAGCTAAATCTCTTTAAATGATTAATATCAAATTTAGTGAAAAGGGTTTTCTAGACTGAGGTAGAACATGAATAAAGGCATGGAGATTGAAGCAGATATTGTGGGTTCATGGAACTATGTTTAGTTTTTAATATAGTAGCTGGAGGTCACAGTGAAAGTATCCAGGAGGAGAGTTGTGGTGATAAAGCACGAGAGAGGCAGTGGTCAGATTCATTTGTAATTCATTCAGTAGATACAGATTGACCACTCATTATGTGGCAGCCACTATTTTAGGCACTGAAGATTCTGTACTGAAGATCTTCGTATTTGGAGCTTTTGTATTTGGAGCTATAGGAAAAGGCAATGACCAAGAAAAGAAATTAAGAATAAAATAATAAACAAAAAAGTTCAAGGTAGACTATAAAACAAGATAATTTAACAGAAAGTAACACGGGATGGGATAACTAGTGTAGATTGGGAAGTTCAAGCGGGCTCCCTCAGAGAGATTGACAATATGTGAGAAAAAAGAAGTTTTAGTAAATTACTGAGTTCTAGCAGATATATGTTGAGTTTGAAGAGACATTAAGAGGTCCAAAAGGAAATATCTATTGAGGTAACTAGGTTGGGAGCTCAAAAAGAGGTTTAGTAGGGGTCATTATTATATGTGTGGTGGTTGATGTCATGAGAATCGATGATGTGTAGGTAGTGAGATAGTTTCTGTTTTGACAAGGTGAAGGCCAAAGCAGAACATTTGGGAGCACCAATATTTAAGGAATGTGCAGAAGAAGAGGGGTCTGTGGTAAAAGCCTGAGAATATGAAATAATTAGAAATGTAGAAGGAGACTTGGAAGGGACTTGGAGGAGCAGTATCTCAAAAATCCAAGAACAGAGAGAACTTAAACAATGAGGGAGTGCCAGGAATGTCATTTACAATAGAAAGGTCAAGTAGATGAAGACAAAAGGTGCATTGCCTTTGGTGAACTTCCAGAGAAGTTCCAGTCAGTGGTGGGGTCA